AATCAGCAACCAGGAACTGTGGCAGCGGACAAAACAGAAACCCATTGAGGAAGAGATTCTCCAGAAGCGGTGGAGGTGGATTGGTCATACACTAAGAAAACCTGCTTCTAACATAACAAAGCAAGCCCTGAAATGGAACCCACAGCGTAAGCAGAAAAGAGGCCGTCCAAGAAATACTTGGCGCCGAGAATTGGAGACAGACATCAAGAAAATTGGCCATGAATGGAAGATCCTGGAGAAGCTGGCCCAGGATAGAGATGCCTGGAGGTCTCTCGTAGGTGGCCTATGCCCTTGGAGGAACCGCAGACGCCGACGATGATCGGTGGATGCCCCCCATGGACGAGAATGCTCAACATTCCTAATAACACCCCATCAACCATATTTCAGTCTCCTTTGCTAATAAACATCAGCTGACAGACCTAGCGTTTGCTATAGTAAACTGACACGCGAAGCGATTGGCATAACTTTTTAATACTTCTATTCTATATTGCATTTGCATGTTGCTATTTTTTAAAAATAATAATATCAAAATATCTCCTTTACAAAAAAATAAAGTAATAATAATAAGTAATGATGAATTAATTCCATTAACTTTTTGTAATAATCACCAAACGCTTATTTTTTTTCAAAAAGAAAAATATGGAATTTAAGTGCCTAGTCCCTTTAAGTGGACGCTTAATCAATTGATTTTACTTATTGTTTTGACCAGAGAAGGATCATTTGGTTAGAGAACATGCCGTTATATATATCTTATTACTGGAACGCGTAAAAGCAAGCACGAAGAGTCAGTGTGTGCGGTAAGATGTGGTGTATTTAATCGTTAGAATATGTCCATACAGGTGTTACGACACTAAAATGTGGCTACTTATCATGTGGATACTTATCACCCTGTTGATCCACAACTTTACAGTCGAAGGTGGAGTTTGCTATTTGTGTTAAATGTCCAGTTATGCATAGGTGGGGGGAGGGGAGATAGTTTGATGGTCGAGTGCGCTTTGTTTTCTTATTGTTAAATGTTCAGTTAGGCATTGTTTTTTTTGTTTGTTTTTTTTTGAAATTTCACTCGGAGGCCGTCGGTCCCCTTGATTTCTACCATACCTCCCCCAATCAAATCGACAGTCTCGGCTACTGTTTGAAATACAAAAAAAAAAAAAAAAAAAAAAAAAAAAAAACAAAAACAAAAAGAAAAAAAAAAAAAAAAAAAAAAAAAAAAAAAAAAAAAAAAAAATACTAAGCTGAGGATAGTACTAGATGCATAACTTGAGGCGGAAACATCTGTTAAGCGCACCCCTGGGGTGTACACTCTGAAAACGGAAAAAACCATCAAAAAACACCCCTGACATTAAGAAAAGTACTTCCCAGATACCTAGTTTAGGGTTAGTGCCGCCCTGGGTGGGCCAAGATTTTTGCCACCCCCTTCCACGATAAAAACTTTGCCGTTAACTGAAAATGCTGCAACTCCATAAAAAAAAATAACATAAGAGACACCGGGGTTGAATGCAGGGTTTCTTTCAGGCATCTCTCCGGGGGGGGGGGGGGGAGAGGGCGCCCCCCCCCCCCCAAGGTGGGGGGAGGGGAGATAGTTTGATGGTCGAGTGCGCTTTGTTTTCTTATTGTTAAATGTTCAGTTAGGCATTGTTTTTTTTGTTTGTTTTTTTTTGGGGGGGGGGGGCAAGTTTGGGAATGTGAAAGTGAAAGCAAAGGGGAACCTCAAATTTTAGCATTGGATTGGAAATAAAGAAATCATGGGCAAAGTTTAATTATGACATTTATGACTTTAAATGTTTAGATTGAACCAATCAAAGGTATAACTGTATGGGATATCAACTGAGTTGAAAAGGACAGACTGATTGGAAATCTTACTGTAGACTTTTTAAAAAAAATCAGATTAGTGATGTGAAACCAAAAGTTATTGTATTGTTTAGGGATGGGGATTTTTGATGGTCAACGCTAAATAATGATGATGCACAATGATTAGAAAGATGAATAAGTATCATCATATGCTCGTTGAAAATTAGAACACATGAGAAAAAAGTGCATACATTGACACGTATACAGGATTTCTTTCAGGCATATCTCCGGGGGGGGGGGATTTTTAGGGATGCACCCTCTTCACTCCTACGTCATATGGCATTTTCTCTAAGTGTCCTGCCCAGCGTAGCCTGCCTTTTGTTAATTCTATTTTCGTGGATCCTGATATAGACTGTACAATTTCTGGTTGGTTCGTATTCTCCATCCATATTCATCCTTTGTTGGTCCATATATTTTCCTGAGAACGTCTCTCTCCCATGTGTTCAATAGGTTTTCTGCCGTTTTTGTTAGGGTTCAAGTTTCACTTGCGTATGGTACAAATAGTCTGATTACAGTTTTATAAATAGTTTTCTTTGTTTCTCTTGTAATGTTTTTACTTTAGAGCATTTTCTGACTACCGAAGTATGCCCTGTTTCAAGCTGATATTCTTTATTTTATTTCTGCTAGTAATTTGTTACTTTCATTCATTTAATAAAGATCCTAGGTATTTGAGTTTATTTACTTTTTTCAAACGTGTGTTTTCTAATTTTAGTGGCTTAATCTGTCTGTTCTTCTCTCATGTATTTTGTTTTTGGCTGTTCATTCCAGCCCTGCTGGTAGTGATACCTGCTGGTAGTGATGCCTGCTGGTAGTGATGCCCGCTGGTAGTTATGCCTGCTGGTAGTGATGCCTGCTGGTAGTGATGCCTGCTGGTAGTGATGCCTGCTGGTAGTGATGCCTGCTGGTAGTGATGCCTGCTGGTAGTGATGCCTGCTGGTAGTGATGCCTGCTGGTAGTGATGCCTGCTGGTAGTGATGCCTGCTGGTAGTGATGCCTGCTGGTAGTGATGCCTGCTGGTAGTGATGCCTGCTGGTAGTGATGCCTGCTGGTAGTGATGCCTGTTCCCTAGCAGTCCCTGCTTTGTCATCACCATATGCAAGATCCTGAAGCGGTTGATTGCAATGTTCCCTCTCAGGTTTTCTGGTTCGTGTGCAAAATCATAAAGTTGTGTGCAAAGTTTTACAACATCAATTTTTTTGTGTGCAAAATTTAACAGTCCACAAACACACACACACGCGGACATTTGCTGAGCGGATACTCAAAACTGCTGCGCGGCTTCTGTGAGATACCTGCGCGGCCGCGCAGCCACGCAGCTTAAAGGGAACATTGGTTGATTGTAGAGAGTGCCCATTGGTTGTGGGTCTTGGGTTTCCCTCAGAAAGTATCCTGCTTTTGTTCCTCGGGTGTCAATATTTATACTTCTTATAACTCTCTCTCTAATGTTAAGTTAAATAGCATACATTTTTACAAGACAGCGAGTCTCCTTGTCTTAGGCCTAATCTGAAATTCCCTTGAATATTCTCCTTGACCTTTGATTTTGCTTTTTGAGTTGTTCAGCATAACATGTCTCAGTCTTGTCAGTTTGTTGGGTATGCCAAACTCCTGCAGAATAGCATATAGATATTTTCTTTTGGTACTGTCATATGCCATTTTATATTCCACATAGAGTTGGTATAGTGGGATATTATATTCATTTCATTTCTCTAAATCTGATCAGTCATTTGTTTGTTTTTCTGAATCCACATTGGTAATCATCTAGTATTTCTTCAGTGTACGGTTTTAGTCTTTTGACAATTAGCTTCTCAGTATTTTGTATGAAACATTTAATAAGGAGATTCCCCTGTAGTTTGTGCACTGAAGTTTGGAGCCTTTCTTGTGTATTGAGGTTATTAATGCCGTTTCCTATTCTGTTGGAATTTTCTCTTCTAGCCAAATTTTGCTTATAAGTTTATGTATCTGAGTGTATAGTTCAAGGGTGACATAAGTAGAATGAATTTAGTTTACGTCTCACTGGAGCCGAATTGAAGATGTCTTTGATCATTATTATGGCTAATTTTGGCACTCTATCAAAACCTTAAAAATGTCCTCACCCATTAAAACATTGAATTCAAATATATTCAAAAATACACCTCTTGACTTTGATATACCGGTACTCAAAATTTTTCCTGGGACCCCTCCTCCGATCAAGATTCATCAGCGCCCTCAATTTCCGCCCTACTTCCCGATGAAAATGATCCCCGATTTCAGTATCGATAGATACACTGCCTAGTGACGCAGTGACGCAGCTACTAGTAGTGCCGCCATGGGCTGGATGGGCGGGCAAATATTTTTGCTGTCCTCCCTTTCCCGGTACAAAACTCTGCAGTTGTCCGAAAATGCCACACCTGCATATAAAGAAACTGTGGAACCTCGGTGACCACCCCATCCACCTTATTTCGATGCCACTAGCAGGTGCGTATCTACAGTGTTTGGTGTCAAGGGAAAAGATTCCTTTTTAAGACCCCCGCCCTTTCTGAAACTGATTATTTTCAACCATTAAATGCCAACAAAGCCCATTTTGCCCCCCACTAGACTGGCGCCCCGGGCAATATGCCCCCATCTGCCTCCTTGGCTACGCCTCTGGTAACTGGCGGCACAGCCCCCCCCCCCC